TTTCTATTTCAATTTAATATATATATAATAATATTAATATAATAATAATTATTATAATATATATAATAATATTAATATAATAATAATTATTATAATATATATAATATATATTATTATATAATAATTTATATAAATAACAAAATTGCTGCATCAATTGCAGCAACGGAAATTATTTTCTTATCACAATAATTATAATATAAAATAATAATAATTATAATATATATTATAATTGTTATTATTTTATATTATAATTGCAGCAACGGAAATTATTTTCTTATCACAATAATTATAATATAAAATAATAACAATTATAATTATTATTATTTTATATTATAACACAGAACATATTTATTGTGCATTAAAATCCAGAATTAACAATTGCGCTATTTTAATCTAACGATGGAATTACAACGTTTTTATACTGAAAAATGACTGAGAAACGTTAAGAATAAGAATCCTATAAAAATTACAATAATAAGCGGGTATAATTTTTTACAGACTAGAACAGCGTTTGGTTCGTTGTGCATCGTTCGAAAAAAAGGTTCAGAATACGTTTTATTCTCGATTTCGATTTTGTTTTGAATTGGTGTTGGTTGATTTGTGGCTGGGTTTAGGAGTTTAGGGGTTTACAGTTGTCACAGGAGGGAGTAACATTCGATTGATTGATGTGCTACGTAAAATCGATCCTTTCGATGTAATATCCCGTTTTAGTTGTTTAAAGGGAACAATTTCTTTTCGACGAAAATTGACGAATTTCACACATTTCCGTCGAAGCACCGCCGTGTCGGATTAATGATCAATGTTTCACGCGTGCGTACTGAATCATTAAGCATGTTAGGTTTCCGGAAAGTTTGTTTCAAATCTTTCACGTGAATTCGATGAAACGAACTCCATGAAACGTGAAACGAACTTTCTGAACAACCCGGTGTACAGTTCGTTTGGAAACAATTTATTAGGTTGTTCGGAAAGTTCTTTTCATACTTTACCGAGTTCGTTTCGTTGAATTCATATAAAATAATATTCAATACGAACTTTCTGAACAGCCTACAGCAGTCTAAAATAGACTGTGCGACAAACGCCATGCGTATCATTAGTTTAAGTAATTTTTAACTAGAACTACGGAATCGTATTTTGTAAAATCTGAAATATAAGAAACCATAAAAAAAATGTAATTTTAATATTTCGTGATCGAAAAGAGCGCCCAAAAATTTAGCAGTAACACCGACAATGAGAAATATATTAGGTCATTATATTATATTATATTATATAACTATATTATATAACTATATTATTATATAACTAATAACATATCATATTATTATTATTATTATATTAGGCTATATTATATATAGGTCAGTGTAACGTCTCTATCTGATTAATCTTGAAATTGGAAGAATATCCTTGTTTCTTCGATCCCAAGTATAATTCCGCACATATCACGAAGCAAATCTCACTGTTCGAGCAGATATAAGTTACAATTAATCATAAAAATATTAGAGAAACGTGAAACCACTCTGAAATATCATTACGACCGTAGGAAAGTTAAACATACTCGTCAGAAATGAATTATAATTCATCCTTCCTCGAATATCTTTCACCCCGGCATTGCATATATTTGGCCTCCCGGTTTTCGCGTTTCCCTTTCGCCGGAATCTTTCCATTTTCTCTCGGTCCCCTCGGTCTTCCTTTATCTACATTTTTGTTCGTTCGCCTCTTGTTTACACTGTTCACAGTTTTCCCGCCGTCTAGTCGCGTCGTCTCCATTCCCACTCCATTTCAGTATTCAAAACCCACCCGCCGTCCTCCGTTCTATTTTTCGTTGTTTATATCTGGGCCAGTGGAATTGACAGTCTGACGCAAACCTCTCGGATCAATCGGCCATGTAATTCTTTAGGCTTTCTCGGTCAACATTATTACCAGAGTGGCAAACCGGAACTACTTTTGCAATAACCTAATAATTTTTTAGTAAAGCATTCTTTAATCTTTGTCTGTGTGACATTATTCTCTTTCTTCCGCTCATGGAATATGCTAAAAGGATTACTTTAAAGTGCAGTAACCTCGCGAAAAAAATCGCAGCCATCTTTCTTTCTTCTTAATTAAAGGGAGAAGATCGAACTTCATTCGGCTCTGAACGGCATCTCCGAAAAAAGATTCACGAAGTCCGCGCATTTCGTCAAACTTGGCAATTTTCGATGTGACAAACGTGGCGCCACATTTAAAGGGTTACAGTGGTGAAGATGGGTCAAACTTAAAATCGGGACACGTTATCTTAAAGTAGAGATTTCGTGCATCGATTTGGAAAAAGAGTCATCGTCCTACGATGCGTTTTCGCGGAGTTATCGTCGGTCAAAGTTCACCAATTTCTTATCCAAAATTTTCCTACGCTATGCTTTTTTAGCAATGCATATGAAACGTGGAGATAAGCTACGCTTATACATTTATGAAACGGGGGTCCCAAGTGATCCAACGTTCGACGTCCTCTGGCACACGCTAGAAAGATCTCTGTAAAACCGAATTTTGTTCTGTGCGAGATTTCGGTGCACGTTCTCGGCGCGTCTCGTCCGCAAATAGTTAAATCGTGAGTTCGGTTACCCAGAACACGAAGAACCACGGCGGAAAAAGCGTTGGTGAATTAAAAACAGATAGTCGATTTTCTCTGGTCCTGTCGGCTTTCTACGTGGAATCGTTTGTTCCACTTCTTCGTTATCTTCGACAACCGGAGCCATGGGATTACCAGCGGCGATCGGTATCGTTTTCCAGGACTCGGTTTTTAAATCAATTGCGCTTTGCAGTCGTTTCATCTCCGACTTCTGACTGATTCGATGTGACTTTTATTTGATATTAACACGCGTGTATTACACGGTAAGATTCCCCTATTTTTTTTAGACACAATCGAATTAAATTGAAGAATTATTACTAAAAGACTGGGATCTTTTACGCAGAATAAGGAAACAAAATAATAAATAAAATAAAAGGAAATAAAATATCTTTAATACTAGGTCTGCGGAAGCCGTCGAAATGACGGATCACTAATTGTCTAATTTCCGATTATTCAGATTGTAAGGATACATATTGATGACCTAGTTATTCAATATATGTGTTACTTGCGTCAAGTATTACATCAACAATCGTTAAAAATTGAAACAAATGCCTTATTGTTACTTTGAGGAACTAATTACAAAACAGATGCTTTTAGTGGTAAATCTAGAGTTAATAATTTTCATGCCATTAATATTTGAAATTCCGTCTGCTCATATTTTGCATAAATGCAAGAAATCCGCAGCCTGATTACTATTAATAATTAAGCTGACCAAAATTAAGTTGACAAAGAAACACAGGATACAAAATCAATGAAAATGGACGAATGTCAAGTCGTCTTGAAAGGCAACAAATACCTTTGCTGTAGATAACTTTGGATCGTCGAATGAAGGCTGCTTACGCCTAACTGATTAACACGTTCCGTGCCACGTGTACCATCGATGGTACACGCTTGCATGTTTACTTAGTGAACTGAAAAAATTGTTTACAAGAAATTTAGAACCGAAGAATCAATTTCCACCGCAAGAATGGTCGTTGATAAGTTTTTGTTACGTTGTTATGTGTACGAGAATTAATAATTGCACGTAATACATCAAGTTTTAGTAAAATATCAAAGTGTGAAGATTCGAGTAAAAAAAGCTCGGCACGGAACGTGTTAAACAGCCCATCACTCGCCGCGCCGAGCATGACGAATAATCCTAACGACCTTTAGAATTGATAATCCGCCGGTGAACGTTTGCGTTCGAAATGTTTGAAAGGTCGTGTGCAGCGCGAATTTATTTCCGTTCGCCGGCGGTCTTGGCATTCTATCGGTTTTTCTCGACGCGTTACATTTGAATCGACACCATCTTCCGCGTCAGTTGTTTTTACAATCGGCCCGATACCGTCGATGAAACGGCGTGCATGTACATCGAAGCGTCTCGCGGAACGCGCAAACATTAAATGCCGGCGAAAAGCAACCTCTAATTTCACTCCGCTGAATCGTTTCGCGAAACGGGCGAAACTGTTCCACCGGCGCAAAAAGAACAGAGGGAATATAGTAAAAGCTCAGAATTCACGGAGTCTAATTTGCAGTTACGGTTTGGTGCCATTTGCGGTCTCTGTTACATTTTTTTCCCCGGGCGCGCGGAGTGCCGGCAGCAAAAATCTTCTGTCGAGCCAACTGAACTCCGGCTTCCGTGCGGTGTACGAGGACGGAGCCCTGATTTTATGCCATAACCTTCGGTAAATAATGATATCCAAATACCGGCAGAAATTACAGAGTCCTATTCGTAATTCTTTAATATTCCAGACAGTTCCACAAGATGGTTCTTATTAGACCACGGAACTTTATGCGATTTTCTATCTGAACGGCTCGTTTCTCGATACTAGACCTATTGTCACCGTCAAAATGTCTGGTCCGACATATGTGTTTTCTGTAAAACTATAGAATTGTTAAAATTGTTGAAACTATAGAGAATCTTTTGGTGGAAACGGTTGAATGATTTTCTGATTTCCTTTTATTTGCATTTTACCAAAGTATATGCCGTCAAAAATATGTCTCCGACAGGATTTGTTCGAATTCGTGTTATATGCGAAGTTATGGACCCAAATTGACAGATAAATCGTAAGTGCACACATTTCCAAGTAACTGATAAGTGGACTCCAGATTTTACTCATTTATACCAGAAATGAGTAGCTGAAAATTGTGAAGATATGAGAACAATTTTATAATATTTTTAACTATGTTCAATTTGTCAATATTACTATAAAGGGAACAATTTATTTTCATTTAATTACTGTTTCCTGCTATCGTCTTTGAAAATAGTTATTTTGCATAAAGGTCCGCAATCTACTGAAACGTAAAACATTAAACGCGTTTTTAAACTCGTGTCCGGAGTTCTACATCACCGATTAATTTCAAATTTGCACAGGATTTTCAGCAAACATGCTGTTGTCGCATGAGCCACGGTTTTTAAAAATCTTTTCCTTTCACATTTTTTTCAGTATGTTTTAGATTTAAAAAATCGGAGGAATCAGTATTTAAACTTCAAAAAAAGCGCCGTCATTTCTTCAATTATCGAATTTTTTCATTTATGCAAGTTCACGCTATACTCTTATTTACACTAATCACGGTGCCACTTTGTTTGTTTCAGATTAATGAAACTTTTACTACAGATTTTTACAACGATACTTCTGTTTAGATAAACATAGCTCGTGTAACTTTTATTATTTCTCTTTAAAAGAAAAAAAATATACATATATACAAAGAGCCTTATGGTTTCTTCAAAAGTAATCAATTCCGAAAAAAGCCGAAGAATTGCATTCTGGACGTTGTAATAAAAACAGCAAGATTCTTAAATAAATTTAAACTTGTTATTCTCATAGAGCAATACATATCAGACATCTTTAGTGTTCGGTAGATTTAGTGCTAAACATACAATTGGAAGAAAATTAAAAATCTAAAATTATAGAAGATTTGTCGGCGCGCAATTGAACCAAAAATGCAAGTCATTTTTGCAAATATACATCCTGTTGAATAATGTTAATATGCAAAAGATCCGCAGCGAATTAGTAAGTATGATCGACTGTACATCTGTATGAAACAAGGGAACTTTGCACAATGGCACATGTGATTAGTTAACAATATTCTAGCATGTTTAGGATGCAGAAATTCTACGACACTTCCTCACGCATAAACTGTGAAATAATTAGAGCCATGAACGCTGATGACTTTAACTCCGTTTCGAGAACGAATGTCGTCGTACGAATGACATGTGTTTTATCGCAAAAGCAGCAAATATATGATATTATTCTATACATAAAAAAAGATCAGGACGCATTGTTCATTTTCCTCATCGTTTCAGATTTTCATACATAATTTAGTTCTCCGCGTAATATCTTTATCCTACTTTGAAAAATCCTCGTCCGCGAAGGATTAACTATGAATGTCTACCGATTATCTGCTTTTTTTCGCGAATTTTTCAACTTCCCCATCCGGCTATTTGGTTCGATAACACAATGTGGGAACGCTGGCACACGTCCTTAATTTGGGAAACCAACCCGCAATGCTCTAATCCAACTCTGTCGTTCAGGTGGGTTTAGGATACCCCAATTGCTATGGTCGAAACGCAAAACCAGTGTATTTGTCACCGTCCGCATGCAAATTTCAAAAGCACCGCCAGGAATTCTACACGCTTGCCCGCCGATGACGCTTGCTGCGTGAACGAAATCGTTCAAAAAATATTTCCAACAGAATAAACCGTAACCGAAGCAATAAACTAATATGAAAGGTTCGATCGTATCGCGGACGCATCGTTAAAATCGTATAAATCACCAGAGGATCGAATTTTTATTTATTTCATACACATTGAAAGAATACAGTAATTTCTCTCTAATTTGCGCTCAGATTGCGTACAAAAATGGGGAATTTGGAAAGAGGAGACACGATTAGTGGAGTCTTGCGTCTCGTTTTTATAGTTGTTGAAAATCGTGGATACTGTTCAATTGCAACAGAATGGTTTAATAATATTTAATAATATTAGCTAATATTAAATAAAAATCTGACAAATATCCCTTGGAAGTTACAATGAAATGAAGAAACAAATTCTTAACATAATTGAAATTATTAGGATTTACAAACTGTTCGAATTCCATTTTAACATTGTTTATTCTCTAATAATTCATTATAACTGTAATGGCACAATTTCAGACACGGAAGAAGGCAAAAGAATGTGTAGATATGATAATAACTCTTTGCTTAGCAATTAAAGGTTTGAATAGCTTTTAAACACTTAAAGACGAAATTATTATAGCGCGACAAGTAGTTAACATATAAATTGCGATTGCGCACAAAAATGGAGAATTTGGGAAGAGGAGACACGATTAGTCGAGTCTTGCGTCTCGTTTTTATAGTTGTTGAAAATCGGTAACTGTGGATAGTATTCAATTGTAACAGAACGGATTAATAACGTAATGCTAATATTAAATAAAAATCTGACAAATATCCTTTGGAAGTTACAATGAAATGAAGAAACAAATTCTTAACATAATTGAAATTATTAGGATTTACAAACTGTTCGAATTCCATTTTAATATTGTTTATTCTCTAATAATTCATCATAACTGTAATGGCACAATTTCAGACACAGAAGAAGGCAAAAGAATGTGTAGATATGATAATAACTCTTTGCTTAACAATTAAAGATTCGTCTAGCTTTTAAACACTTAAAGACGAAATTATTATAGCGCGACAAGGAGTTAACATATAAATTGCGATTGCGCACAAAAATGGAGAATTTGGGAAGAGGAGACACGATTACTCGAGCCTTGGGTCTCGTTTTTATAGTTGTTGAAAATCAGTAAATATAAAAACGATCCGCGCGGCTCGAATATCCTCTACCAATATTGTTCATTTTTGCGCGCAATCTGAACGCGAATTAGGGACAAATTATTGTATAATAAAAGTACGTGAAAACAGCGTTTTCGATCTAATGGGCTCGCGCTTCGATAGTGCACGAAATTACAGATAAAAACAGCAGAGACACGACTCGCTGGGGCAAAGGGCAAACAATGGACTAAGTAGATTCGCGTGTTATACTGTGTTATGTCACGCGTCTTTTTAGTACGCGCTGTTTCCCGAAAGAAACGACTCGAGGTACACCGACCGTCACAATAGCTGTCTACCCTACTCCTGTTACCAGCATGTTATGAGACCGGAGCGATTGTGATGGGGTGGCCGGCTATTATGACCATTAGGGTGCCACGGTGTCCTCTCTCTTAAAAAATCGCCATGATAAATATTTTCCTGCGCGAATTCTCCTGACAAATTCGATCCCGTTTTACCGCGCACAATGTTTGAAAAATAAAATCCCGGCAGGGTGCCGACCACTTGACGCCCGTCGAATTACATGCAAAATATTTTCTGCGTTTTCACAATTGAACGAGATATTTTACACGAACAATCGGGCCGACCGCATTGTCCCTTCCAGAAACAACAAGACCTGCACCTATCGAAATATTTCACGATTTTTATTCAAAAATGCAAATCATATCCAACGGCTCAAAAAAGCTTTAAAACATGACGATACCGCATCGATACTTTTCGATCCTTTTCATTTTCCTACTGTTTTTATATTTTATTATTTAATCCGTAAGATTCAGAACCACGTGATGAGAAATTCAAAAATTGTTTTTATTTGATGCAGTCTTGCTAAAGCAATATATAGTAGCCATCCCAATTTTAGAAAGCACATTTTTGAAGACACGAAGGTTCTAGCGTCGAAGGTCGTTGAATCCATCTCGATGTGCACCTCGATGCTGCGTTATAAAAAATAGTGGTTAACCTGGTGATCTTCAATGTTTGAAAAAGATTGACCTTGAAAGGAAAAACAGAACACGAGTCGTAATATTCTTAGTTACGAGCAAGACAAAGTTCTCCCGACACATTTTTTGACATCAGCAAAAATAACGAGCATACGTCAATGAGCAGGATAAGATAAACACCCTACACACACACATATATATATATATATATATATATATATATA